TTTGATTGGACATGAGCTGAAATTAAAGGTGGCCAATTAAACTAAACGGACAGCTTTTAAAAATCCCCTTCTTGTTCACTCAGGTTGGACCTCTCATTACATTAAATGGTAAATAGTGGATATAGTAATTACTCTTTCTATACAGTGACGTGAAGTAATTAAGTAATCCTCATTTACATAGCGCCTTTCACAGACAGAGCCATAAAGCGCTTTGCAATTGTGGGCATTTTTCCTCTCACTCCATGCAGTGATGGAAGCAGGGTTGCCATACAGGAGGCCATGCCAGACCTATTCTACATGTTTTTTAGCGGTAGGGGAAAGCGGACCACCTGCGGTATGTCATTAGGGGAATTTTTAACAAAACACAAACTTGAGAATAAAACAACAAAACACACATGCATTAGATTAAAAATGGTTTTGAATCTCAACTGTGCGGCCTTTAAAGCAGACCGTGCGTGCTAACAAGATTTGCCTGTAGGCGCGCGGGTGCTAAACGCATTTGTTTATTGAAGCGCTTAGCCTGGGCCTCCCCTAAAACCTGCTGAGCTGTTGGTGGGTGGCCTCCAGGCAGGTCACGGAGGGCTGCCTGGGACATGGAGAGAACATGAGAGTACCGGAGCGTGGGGATGCCGGTGTTCTCTCCCGACGAACAGGTCCAGCCCCGGAGGTTTCATAATAAGTGCTTGATTAATGGCTTTGTGTAATGGGAGGCTATAGGGATGAGAGGGATGAGGGCAGAGCTGTGACAGAGCATAATGAGAAATAATATGCAAAAAAATATATAGTTCACTCACAGAAACAGACCTGGAGCTCCATAGACACTAGTATACAGTGCCTTGAATTAAACTTTGCCATGTTAGACACAAAATAACATAAGCAAAATGTAAATTCTCAAAAGCTAGTTTGGGGCCTGGTTAGTGCTGTGAAGGGAGACCAATGATACCGGTTCAACCTGGAAAGACTCAGGAATTATGTTTGAGTTAAATTTGAGTATTTTGGTGGTATAGAATGATATGTACTGTATGGTCATATTGGCTCTGGTTGACTAAAATGGACAACATACAGTTTTAGTATCACAACTGAGACAGAATAGAAGTGGTGCTATTGAGCAGTCCATATCCACAAAGAGATGCATGAAAAAATAGAGGAAATCCTATTATTGGTTCACACCGACATGTATAGGTTAATATGGGCATTCAGATACACATAAAACCTGGCTGTTGCCCTGATCAACTGTACGTAGCATAGCTCTTAATTGGTATTTATTCAGCACTTATTAAGCCTAGAGTATACTTGCGCGGCGTGGCTTACGTTAGCGGTTGCGGTGGACCTACGCAAGCACAATTGATGTTATACTGGCGCGTTCCCCTTACGGAGTTTTGAGGAGAATGTTATAATCCCACAACAAACCACATGAGGGCAATCACACAGGAGCGGTCCCATTCACGCTGCTACTTTGTCCTCTTCAGAACAACAATAGCAAACAAAGCTGTTTGAGTTCATTACACGTGTTTCTACTGTAGGTTTATGTGATAGTTTTATGGATTCATTATTTTATAAGTCATTTCAACTGTGATTCTGTGAATAAAGACACAGTTCTTGTTGGAAACATAGTTATTATTAAATAGTTTTCAGCACAAACAGCAAAACAACAATAGTGGTAAATATCTGAGACAAACATAAACGATTTACGAGTGCAGGAGGAAAGCAACAAACGCAGCTACGATTCAAACAAAGACAGGAACAGTGCAAAACAAACGACTGCACAGTTTATAAGTTATATATATGTTAGATATAAGTTATATATATGTTAGATAGTCCACAGTCTCCTGTATATCAGGCTCTGAGCCCAAACTGCTTTTCCTTCGAAGCACAAAGCTCTCTGCTCCATAGTGCCTCGTCCATGTCCCTGCTGCAGCCGCTCCATGCTTCCTTCCAATACACACACATGGACCAATCACAGCGGAGATTCCTTGCAGCAATCCTTACGTAGTTAGAAAATTTCGATGCTGCAGGGCAGGCAACGTAAGGGCCTTGCGGTGACCAACGCGTTGCGCAAGTGACGTCACGTCACCTCCGTGCCGCGCGAGTATAAATTAGATAAAACTTGGCTTTAGAACTCGGAGGAAGGCTTAAACTCATCAGACTGTCAGTTCAAGCTGCATAGGGAGTCAGTTTGCTGGGGAAGTTTGTACTTGAGCACTATCCTTCCTCCTTCTCCTTTTCCTGTTTAGCATATTGGGTTTTACTGTAGTTTGTTCATTGGCTATTCACCGTTGGTCCCCTGGTGTTTTATGGTTACGATGACGGGACCTCTGAGCAGGCCTCCTCCATCTACACCTGCGGACTGCCCTTGCCCGACCCGCCTGGGAGTGCTTCAGTCTGCACCGGACCTCTGTCCCCGTTCAGCGGCCACTGGTTCCATGATCCGGTAGGCTGCTTAGGTCCAGATCATAAGCCTCTCAGTCCGGAGGAGCGGATCCTTTCTCAATGGGTCTCCCTCCCTGTGGGTTTCCCTAGTTCTCCTCAAGGTTTCTCACTTTTTTCTCACTGGGTTTTTAACAGTTTTTCCTTGTTGATGCAGGAGGGTTCTTGTTGGACAGTTAGTTACATAATCCTATGTTTAATGCCCTTTAATAATGAATACGTTTAGTATTTTCACTTTTTATTGTCTGCATTCAAATATATTTCAACAGTCATGGTGTGTGTGTGTGTGTTGTGAGTGTGTGTGTGTGTGTGCGAGTTTGTTTTGTGTGATAATTGTGTTATTGTTGCTTTTTGCCTTTTGTCTTTATTGTTTCTTTATTGTATGCATTTGTATCTGTCAACCTCTGTACCTTTTTGAGGACCCCCTCGAAAAGAGATGTTTCATCTCTAGGGGCTTATCCTCCAAATAAATAAATAAATAATTCACTAAATCGTGTCCAACAGAAAGGATTGGGGATGATCCAGGACTCTTAACATTTACAAAATACATGCATGGACATTTTTTCTGTGTGTTGCTGTATATATTTCCTCTGTTTTAACTGTTGATTTCTCTGACTTGTGTTGGTGATTTCATGGTTTTGTTAAGTCCTCCCGAGAATTACTTCTGTAGTTGACTATAGGCTATACAAGAATAAATTGTATTGTATTGTAGAGGCAGACTGGAGGAGTGTCAGGGAAGAGAGCGTTTTGGGGCGGGGCTTCTATGGTGCCAACACAACTCGGAGGGAGGGACACAGCGGCCAAGCTAGAAGGTAAAAAAAACTCTTGAAATCTTCAACACGTGCCGCACCAGAAGCGCGAAAACGCTCAATGGCCGCGCGTCGGGAGGAGATTGACGCGCGCGGGATCTCTGCCGCGTCCCCCTTGTATTCTCAAATGTAAACCCGACGCCTTTGGACGCTTTGTGACTCTGTCGTTAACACTCTATGGCACATGGGGTCATTTTGGGGAACTTTCCTCGCCTGGTTTTCTTTTGTGCGATATTGTTCATAAAACAGTCAATCTTTTGATGCAGAGTCAAGCAGTATTACTTTGTTTTTTCAGTACTCCTGGGGTTTTAGAATTTTCTATTGTAAATCTGTCATCTGATTAAATACAATTATGGAATCATGAAGACAAAGAAAAAATCAAGCGGAAAAATCAAATTTAAACAAAAATGTATTGAACAAAACACAATGAAATGCTATAACAACTATTTTACACTGGCTAGAAATGTTATTTATGGTCTTGGGGATAATGGGGAAAAAAATTGAATTCTCTAACTATTATACTTTTTACAAAAATTCCACTATAAAAGCCAAAAAACTCTGTACTCCAGGATGCCCTTCCTGAAGCAGTTTGTTTATAATGCTGGGTTGTTCTGTAGTACAGCTGTAAAAAACTTAAACATAAGAAACTGAGCCAAAAAAAAAAAAACATCAAATATTTCATATATACATATATTTATTTACATCATATTACACATAATGTCATTTTATGTATTTATTATCGTCTTTATCATACTGCGCACTCTTCAGCGGTTTATTGCAATCGCAGATGTAGTTTCAACGGTGGGACAACAAGTAAACGCAGAGAAGTGAGACATCGCACTCTCTGACGATCTTTGGCAGTCCCGTGTGTTTGGATCTCACAGCTGTTTGTACCTCAAGGTGTCCGCTTTGACACGGACTTTAGACAAACGGTATTTTATTCCTCGTGCATCGCAAGACCCCCAAACGTATTGTACGTTACAGGAAAGCACTGAATACGTATTCACAGAGGAAAAAAAGTAAGTTGCTAGTTTACCTTCGCGAGTAAAATTGATATTTGTTAAAAACATTGTGCGCGTGCTCGGCGCGATGCACGCGGGCAGATAGGGTTCATATATAACAGTCTATGGGTTCTGAACGCATCATTACCTCTGTTGTTGTGTGTCTGTGTGAGTCTGTGTGTGTGTTTACCTCTGTGGTGTCTGTGTGTTACCTCTGGTGTTGTTCTGTGTGAGGCCCTGAGCTCCAGAGCAGAGGCAGAAAGATGTGTTCTCGGGCCTGGTGTGTGCGCCTCCACCATCAGTCAGCCCAGTCCTTTCTCAGGCGCCCCAGGTTGTGGGAACCCCTGCTGGGCTGTGCCAACCTGGGTCGGGTTCTGTCAGGGCACACAGACATCACCACACTTAGAAACACACAATTTGTTAAACAAACACTTGCATCATTTGTTAGTAAATCAGAGGTCAAGTCTGAGTTTGAGCAACAAATCCAAGTCAAGGTCTCTAAAAATAGGGACTAAACAAAGTCCCCCACTCTCTGCCGTACCACGGCCCCGTCTGCTTAGCTTCAGGGTGGACAGGATCAGGCAGTCACCTGCAGGTAGCGGCTACCACACTTTTTCTTTTCTATTTATTTTTATCCCTTGGCGAAGAATGAAGAAGACTTCTGACTTTGGAGGAATCCAGTCACGGGTCAGTTCCGGGTCAGTCCCAGATTCATTCCGGTCAGTCCCAGATTCATTCCGGGTCAGTCCGGATCATTCCCGGATCAGTCCCGGATCAGTCCCGAGTCAGTACTGGATCTCCATGCCCTGCTCCAGGAGGCGCTGGGGGCCTGGTTCTCCACCTCCAGACGAGCTCTGCTGAACAGGAGGAGCTCGTTCTCAATACACCATGCCATCTGAGGGTCACGCCCTGGGACAGGTGTCTACACACACACACAGATACAACAGGACACCAAACACACACACACAGACACAGAGATCACACAGAGACAACACACAGACGACTCAGACACACACCCACCCGTACCACACGCACGCACGCACCACACACACACACAACAATACACACAAACAAACACACTGTTAGAAAAAGTGGATGACCCACAGCTAAAGCCAGAGCCATCATGAAAACACAAACATGGTTATTATCCAGGAGAACTCACTGAACACAAACATGGATGTTTAACCAGAGCACTCATGAACACAAATCCCAAAACCCCCCAACCCCAGGCTGATAACCAGAGACTAATGAACCACACAACATCGGCTGATTAACCAGAGGTCACTCATGAACAAGAACATGTGATTAACCCGACATCATGAACACACTCATGGTGATTAACCAGAGGAATCTTGAACACAATCCTGGCTGATTAAACCAGAGACTCATGAACACAAACATGACTGATTAACCAGAGACACTCATGCACACAAACATAGCTTTTAACCGGAGGGACATCATGAACACAAAATGGCTGATTAACCAGAGTCTTTCATGAACACAAACATGGCTTTATCTAACAGACACTCATGAACACAAACAGGCTGATTAAACCAGGAGACACACCCCCCCCCCCCCCCCCCCCCCCCCCCCCCCCACCCCCCCCCCCCCCCCCCCCCCCCCCCCCCCATGAACACAAACATGATGATTAACCAGAGAACTCATGAACACAAAACATGGCTTATTAACCAGACACTCATGACAACAAACATGGTGATTATACAGAGACACTCTGAACACAAACATGTGTGATTAAACCAGAGACACTCATGTCACACAACATGGCTGATTAACCAAGAGACACTCATGAACACAAACATGGTGATAAACCCTCAGAGGGATTTGGAGGAGAAACCGACACAAAGGTGAAGGTGTGTGAAAGTCAGAGCACCAAGAAAACCCAGGGACCATTAAACACACAAGACAATTAAACACACAAGACCATCAAAGTACATAGCGCACGTCTGAGGGCAGAGCTGCTGTATAGAAATGTGTCCTGGAACAAGTTTGTGTAAAAATTCTGCTACTTTGCCCCAAAAGGTTTAATGTATTCTATCGTGATGTCAATTTCATGGTTATCAGGCGAGGAGAAGAGACAGAGAGAGGGAGAGACAGAGAGAGAGTACAGGTCAGGAGAGACAGAGATACAGACAGAGCAGAGACAGGACAGGAGAGACAAGACTGAGAGAGCGAGACAGAGAGGAGAGACAGAGAGGAACAGTGACAGAGAGTGACAGATGAGAGACAGACAGAGAGAGGACCGAGGAGAGAGTAGAGAGAGAGGAGCCAGAGACAGACAGAGAGAGAAAGAGACGCGAGAGTGAAAGAGACAGAGAGAAAGAGACAGAGAGAGACGAGACAGCGAACAGAGACAGAGTGAGAGAGACAGTGAGAGAGAGAGAACAGAGAGGAACAGCGGACAGAGAGAGACAGACAGAGAGCGACGAGACGAGGACAGAGAGAGACAGAGAGAGAGAGAGAGACAGAGAGAGACAGAGAGAGAGAGGAGACCGAGAGGCGCAGGCAGACGAGAGAGAGGAGAGGAGAGAGGGGAGAGAGAGGAGACAGAGAGACAGAGAGGTGATGGACAGAGAGAGACAGACGCAGGACACGCGACACAGGACACCACACAGTACCCAGCTGTTGAGGCTTGAGCGGCCTTGCTGATTCGCGGCTCCCTCCTCCGGGGAGTGCCCCTGGTGCCTCTTACAGAGATATGGCTACGGATGATTCTCTCAGCAGACACAACGCAATCTATCCACACTTAATCAGCACACACACCACACACCACACACATGGACACACACACGGAATTATTAAGCAGAGGTTAGAACTGTATCCAAAGGGTCCTCAAAAAACATTCACTCAGTCACTCGCGCTCGGGTCTCTTCACTCGGTCTCTATCACTCCGGTCTCTCTCACTCGTCTCTCTCACTCCGGTCTCTCTCCACTATGGTCTCTCCTCTACTCTGGTATCTCTCACTCTGGTCCTTCTCCTTCCCCACTCTGGTCTCTCTCACTCTGGTCTCTCTCACTCTGCTCTCTCACTCTCTCACAATTGAAGCATACAGCTGTTACATCCACAGATTTCAATTATGTGGGTTAATATTTTAGAACAATCTAACCCCTGCAATAAACAGGGACCACAGTATGGAACAGCTTCACCTGCAGCCGGAGAGACTTGTGAGATCCGGGCCACCATCTTGTTGTCGGGTCTAGAATCTTGCTTCGAATCCTGAAAGTAAAAGAGGTGTGAGGTTTGGATTATGACAGCCCAGAGGAGACCAGAGAGAGGCCAAGAGAGGCCAAAGAGAGAGACCAGAGAGGAGGAACAGAGAGAGGGAACCAGAGAGGGCCAAAGAGAGAAACCAGAGAGAGGACAGAGAGAGACCACGCGAGAGGCCAAAGGAGAGGAGACCCGAGAGAGAGGCCAGCGAGGCAAAAGGAGAGAGACCAAAGAGAGAAACCAGAGATGATGCCAGAGAGAGGACCAGCGAGAGGCACAAGAGAGCGAGTCCAGAGAGAGAGGCCAAGAGAGGCCTGAGAGAGAGGACCAGAGAGAGAGACTAGAGAGAGATAAGAAAGAGACCAAAAGAGAGAGGACAGAGTGAGGCCCAAAGAGAGAGACAGAGACGAGGCAAAGTGCAGAGCGAGAGAGAAGAGACCGTAGAGACCAGAGAGAGAGACCAGAGATAGAGACCAGAGAGAGGCCAAATCGAGAGACTAGAGAGAGAGTGAGAGAGACCAAAGAGAGCGACCAGTGAGAGGCCCGAGAGAGAGACCAGAGAGAGGCCAGAGAGAGAGACCAGAAAGAGGCCCAAGAGAGAGGACCAGAGAGAGGCCAAGAGAGAGTAACAGAGAGAGGCCACGAGAGAGACCAGAAGAGAGTGTTCCAGAAAAGAGACAGAGAGGACCCCGGAGAGAGATGAAAGAGACCAGAGAGAGGCCAAGGAGAGAGACCAGAGAGGAGGCCAAGAGAGACTGAGAGAGGCCAAAGAGAGGCCAAAGAGGGCAGAGGGGACCCGTGAGAGGCCAAGAAGTGATGACCAGAGAGTGACTAGAGAGAGAGAGAGAAGAGACCAGGAGAGAGAAAGAGGAGGCCAGCGAGGCCCAAAGAGCGAGACCAGAGACAGGCCAGAGGAGAGAGGCCGAGAGAGACCAGGAGAGAGACAGAGAGCGACCAAAGGAGAGAACAGTGAGAAGAGGAGAGAGAGAGACCAGAGAGAGATACCAGAGAGAAGAGACAGTGAGAGAGACCAGAAGAGAGGCCAGGAGAGAGAGACCAGAGGAGAGAGACCAGAGAGAGGACCAGAGAGAGACCAGAGAGAGAGGACCAGAGAGAGAGACCAGAGGAGAGAACCAGAGAGAGACCAGAGAGAGAGACCATGAGCAGAGGCCATGAGAGAGGCCAAAGAGAGAGGACCAGAGAGACGAGACAGAGAGAGGACCAGAGAGAGAGACCAGAGAGAGGACCAAAGAGGAGAGGCCAGAAAGACACCCAAGAGAGGGGGAGACCCTGAGACCAGAGAGACCCACCTCTCCACTGCGCCTTCAGCGCAATGATCCTGGTCTGCATCATGTGGAGGACCCCCTGCCCCACAAGCACCAGTAAAATACGTGAGGAATAAAAGTATAGTACCAGTAATTCACAATTAAGAGGACATTTAGAGCGGGACTAGAGGGAGACCTGTTTGTTGTTATATATATGTGTATAAGTGTGTGGTTGGTATTATTTCTGTAGGGGTGTGTGTGTCTATACAGTGGGGCAAAAATGATTTAGTCAGCCACCGATTTGGTGCAAGTTCTGCCCTTTGAAATAATGACAAAGGTCTATAATTTTCATCATAGGTACACTTCAAGACTGTGAGAGACAGAATGTGAAAAAAATCCAGGAATTCACATTGTTAGGATTTTTTAAGAATTATTTGATAAAGCATGGTGGAGAATAAGTAATTTGTCACTTCAAACAAGAAATCTCTGGCTCTCACAGACCCTGTAAACTTCTTTCTTTAAGAAGCTCTTCTGTCCTCCACTCGTTACCTGTATTAATGGCACTGTTTGAACTCGTTATCTGTATAAAATACACCTGTCACAGCCTCAAACAGTCAGACTCCAAACTCCACTTTGGCACGACAAAGAGTGTCGCAGGACACGGAAAAAGAATTGTAGCCCTGCACCAGGACTGGGAAGAGTGGTAAGTAGCTTGGTGTGAACCATCAACTGTGGGAGCAATTAGTCCAGAAATGGAAGGACATACACGACCATGATAATTCTCCCTCGATCTGGGGCTCACGCAAGATCTCACGCCGTGGGTCAAAATGATCATGAGAAACGGTGATCAACAATCCCGAAAACCACACGGGGGGACCTGGTGAATGCCTGCAGAGAGGCTGGGGACAAAGTAACAAAAGTTACCATCAGTAACACCCTACGACGAAAGGATTTCACATCCTGCAGTGCCAGAGTGTCCCCCTGTGAGCCAGTGCATGTCCAGGCCGTCTGGAATTTTGCCAGAGAGCACATGGAGATAACAGCAGAGGGATTGGGAGAGAATGTTATTTGGGTGGGGTAGATTAAATGTTTGGTATAAATATCTAAACTCAAACGTCGTCGTGTTTGGAGGAAGAAGATTACTGATGTGCATCCAAGAAAAAACCACCATACGTGAAGCATGGGGGTGGAAAACGTCATGCTTTGGGCTGTTTTTCTGCTACGGGGACAGGACGACTGAACGTGTTAAGGAATGAATGAATGGGGCCATGTATCGTGAGATTTTGACCCATAACCTCCATCCTATCAGTGAGAGCTTGAAGATGAACGTGGCTGGGTCTTCCAGCATGGACAATGATCCAAAACACATGCCCGGGCAACGAAGGAGTGGCTCCGTATGAAGCATTTGAAGTCCTCGGAGCCAGTCTCCAGTGCCCAGTTGCTCGGCGACAGCCCCCAAAACTGGCTCTCGAGAAATCAAGCATGGAGGAATGGGCCAAATTACCAGCTACTGTTGAGTGCAAACCTGGTAAAGACCTATCGTAATCGTTTGACCTCTGTTATTGCCAACAAAGAGATTATATATCCCAGTATTGAGCTGAATTTTTTTATTGACCAAATATTATTTTCCACCCATTAATTTACAAATCTATTCTATAAAATCCTTACAATCGTGAATTCCTGGAATGTTTTTTACATTCTGTCTCACAGATAACGTGTACCTGATGATGAAAATTAAGAACCTTGTCATTATTTTAAGTGGGAGAACTTGCACAATCGGTGGCGGACTAAAAACTTTTTTACCCCACTGTACTGGATGTGTGTGTGTAATACTGTGGTGTGTGGTGTGTGGTTTATATGTGTGTTTATAGTTCAGACCAAAAGTTTGGTCAACACCCCACCAGTTTTTTCTCTTCATGACTATCAAAATTGTAGATTGACTCTGAAGGCTCAAAAACTATGAATGAACTCATGTGGAATTATGTACTTGCCTAAAAAAAAAAAATTATGAACCAAGTGAAAATATTTGTTATATTCTGGTTCTTAAAAGTTGACCTCTTTGCTCTGATATGGGGCCTTTTTTTCTCTTTCGCATACTCTGGATGAGCCTTCAACGAGGACATGAAATGGTCTCCAACAGTCTTGAAGGAGT